TTCTGTAAACTTCGCCAGGTTCCTAACATTACAGGATGACAGCTCAGTCAGATCGTTGAGAAAAGGGGATCCTAAGATTTTAATCTTCTTCTAGCTAAGGAAGGACATTGACACATGAGATGGAGCATGGTCTCCTCCTCATTCTCAGAGCCATAACCTCCACAAAAGTTATTGTAGGGTAGACCCAGTCTCATAGCATGTCTTAGGTAGTACAATTTATAGTGAATCGGGAAATTTGTAGTGACATATGAGAAGGAGCATGGTTTCCTCCTCATCCTCAGAGCCATAACCTCCACAAAAGTTATTGTAGAGTAGACCCAGTCTCATAGCATATCTTAGATAGTACAATTTATAGTGAATCGGGAAATTTATAGTGACATATGAGAAGGAGCATGGTCTCCTCCTCATCCTCAGAGTCATAACCTCCACAAAAGTTATTGTGGGGTAGACCCAGTCTCATAGCTTGCCTTAGGTAGTACAATTTATAGTGAATCAGTTTCTGTGTAGGGAAGTTAATATCTAGTGCATTTAATTGTATTAAACGTTTCACTTCAGAGTGGTAAAGTTAAGGTGATGTATTTATTATTTTATTTATTTTTAGTTTACAATAAATAAATAAAACAAACTTTAAAGTTTTTAGTCATCAATTTCAATTCATAATTAACTACAATTTGATGTACTTTAACACAATAGTTAGCTACTATCTTACCTAGTTACGAGTACCACAATACCTATGTTATACGAGTAGTTCTTTCTGCGAGTAATAAACTGATATTACACGTTACTAACCAGTAACTTAAATTATAGTATTTTTATTTCAATAATTAAAGTATATGGAATATTATTAGCTGATTTTATCAAGAATAGTCTTAGTTAAATACAAATAAATTTTTTTTGATATTATAAACTTAAAAAGGGGCATAATAGACCCGACGGTCGCATTACTACATCATCTAGCAATAATAAAGTTTAAGATTTGCAGCCAGCATATGATGTAACTAAAATATTTATATACAATATATACGGTTTTCCTCTATTGAGCTAAGATATATGTTATACGTTTTTAATTAAACTATTAATCAATAAAATTATATAGAAAACAGTTGTTATAAGGAAATGTTGTACCTAAACGGCTACAATGAGTGTTTTGATTATTTTGTGGTTTCAACAATAATAAAAGTTTTAAAATATCCAATATCAGGGGTTTAAATCAACATGTACGTTAAAACACTATTAGCTAGTTTATATTATAAATAAATTAAATTGTATGTAATGTAAGCTTTATTGCTTCTAAAAATCTATTTCAAATATCTATTCGGCCCTTTCACATTTTATAATACAACGTCGAAAAAGTCGAAAAGAAGGTTTTTATTAACTACTTAAATATATTTACATCTTGTTTTCAGCATTTAATAGATTAATTAATTCTAAATTTAATTTCTTGCTAATAAGTCTTTAGTTTATAAATTTAAATAATAAAAGTCTGTGTTAAGCTTCTTTCAATTTTTAATTTATATATTATTTTAAACTTCGGTACTTGATTTTCTATGTCAATAAAATCAACTACGCTTGCTTAATTACTTGAGACTAATTAACATTTCATTTACTCCATCTACTCTCTTCTCACTTTAAAGTTTGTATTGCATAAATTTCTTCGGGAATGTTTTTATTAATTATTTTGTCATTAGTGAAAGATACATAAAAATACTTACAAATATATGCAGCGCTGTGTACAGTATATGTGTGTATGACTTCATTTTATCTGTAAAAAAAAAATTAAAAATTTTATATAATTTTATCACATCATTTTTATTTTATGTAGCGATTATAATAATTATTATTAATAATTATATATGTTTTTAAGCCTCAACGATCCATCTATTACTACATTAAGTGCATATATTTTCTTTCTGATTGATTCACAATTATTAATAAAATAGCTAAAAATTTTCTTTCATGTAAAAATGACATAAAAAGTCTTAAAAAAGATATTCAACTTAAATATTTGATTGTAATATAAAATTATCATATCAAAGATCAGCATTTACAGTATATTTTCTGCATTAGCATTAAAGTCCGGTTTCTACCCACAACGTCAACAATTGAGACATGAGTTAGCAAGACGTATCTACGCTTACTTATATGAGTGAATTGAGTACGACGTTTACTGGTACCACATCCGAAAGCTGCAGTCAACTGGACACAAATCCAAAAGCTAGCAGATTTTTATTTTATTATCAAATGTTAAGCGCCTTAAGCAGTTAGGGATTTATTTACTATGTTAAAAAATTTCCGCAAAATATTTTTAAAGCTGCTTAAAATATTTACTTATACGTATTAAAAAATAGCTACGGGGCATAATATAATAAAAATGTGCGAATAATTATAAAACTAAATATTTTTTTATTTTGCTATTAAAAATATATTAAGTTTCTAGAAATACTTATTATTTTACACTTTTTTTTTAGATTTTAGTAATTTATGACCACATATCCAGAGATTTATTTTCATAATTTGTATTAACCTTAATACGCTCAACACCCAATTTCTAATCCATTCCAGTGTTGGGCAGTACATAGCCACACGCTGACAACAAACAAACGAAGTATCCTATTTTAAATACCGCCTACAGCGTAACCTAAACTTTAACCTGAAATAACGAAATCAGAAATACGAGTTTTGCTGGCCGCTAACTTTTAAAATCACACATACATTGTGAAACCTAAAACCGTAGTCCAGTCGTTGGCAAAACAATAAAAGTATTGTAAAACTAACGTACAGAAATAAAATTGCAAGAAAAAATCTGACCTAAATCAGTACATAAAAATCGTTACTGGCAACGACATGACCACATAGTGTGAACGTAAGAAAACGGCTTGTATTGGACACCAACGCAATGCATGAGCCAATAATTTATGCCAAAAGTTAAATAAGTAACAATCAATTCGGGAAACCTTAAATGAATAGAATAGTTAACACGCTTAAGATAGCTAAAAAACCCTGAAAAAAAATCAATAACACCGAAAAACAGTTAAAATTCTTAACTTTAATTCCAACGTCATATCACGTCTTGTTTGGATTTAAATAAAATGCGGCAACTGCCAATAAAGCCACTGAATGCACTTAAGTAAGTAACGGCCATGGCGTGGCTTACCGTGGTATGCCTCATAAGTAAGTCTTTCCTAGCGCTTAATACATAACCGTTAAGCGAAGTATACATTTTTGGATAAGTTAGTATATTGCCATAAAAATAATGAAAACAAATATTTATTTATTTGGTTAAAATAATTATATTTTTGACTATTATGAAATAAGAATATATAAATGAATTAGCTGTGTAATAATTAAGAAATATAGAGGTAACAGTGACGTAAACAAAAGGGAGGCAGATTCAAATTTTAAATGCCTTTTAATCTGTCTAACACACTTAAGTAAAATAGAGTATTAAAATTATTTTTTATAACAGTTTTCGCACAGTTCGCTACATTTAGTGGATTGACATTTTCCTTATGCTTTGATACTTGTAATATGCTTTGAAGGTATTGAAAGTAAAAAAAGAGTATTGGGGAAATCAATTCATATACAATATATATCCTTTAATATTTTTTGATATTTTCTATTTAACATTTACACGTGTGTTTCATACTTAATGTCAGAACGTAACAGTGAACGGCGAAAGGATAATAGTTATATGTAATTTGTGAATACCAAAATGAATATTAAATCACTGCTCAAAATATATCTATTGCTTCTCTACAAACATACACTCACACACACAAAATCATGCGGAATTCATGTCTACGCATTTGCAATCCGCAGAATATTAATCAAGTGCGGCAAGCATCAAAAATTAATCCTTGATGATTACTCAAATGTGCCATAGACCGTTCGAACTATTTAACACTAAGTTCATGAGATTAAATTAATTAAATACTTTTGTATGAACTTTGGATCAGTTTTTAGTAAGCAACCTTTAATGCAGAGATTCACTGAGAAGTATTAGCTTCTAATATCTATCGAGTAATGGCTAAAGGAAAATGCACTAAAATGGGGAAATGACATGAAAATATGTTCCCCTTTTCTTTTAATAACTAAAATGGTTAGCAAAAGCCAATCTAGGTGTATCATTGATTACTATGCAAAATTAAATTCTCGGATCATTTATATTCAAATCAATATTATATTGATTTAAAAATAATTATTATAATTTAACAAATACTAAGTAATATAGTAGTAATATTAATAATAATAATAATAAGCCTTGCTCGCTGTCAATGATTTCGAGCAGCCTCTTATACTAGGCATAGGCTGTCTATAAGTCGCTTCCATCTTTCGCGCCGCAACGCTACATCCTTTATATCAGTAATGTTGCTTATTCTTTTTCCTAGAGGCTGCAAAACGATATTTATTTCATTTAACGTTGACCTTTTCGATGTTGTTTTTGGATGACCTCATCCTCCTCTGCTACAAATATCGGTTGGAGGTCAAAGGTCTTTTTGTTATTCTGTTTGGAAAATACGCAAAATTCTGCGGAGATAACAGTTGACGAATATCCAACTTCTGTGACAAATATCGGTTGGAGGTCAAAGGTCTTTTTGTTATTCTGTTTGGAAAATACGCAAAATTCTGCGGAGATAACAGTTGACGAATACTCTCAGCTTGTTTTGTATATTTTTCCTGGCAAACCAAGTTTCGCAACCATACAGAAGAACTGAAAGAACGCATGCTTTAAAGATTTTTATCTTTGTGCGTAGACTATAAGTATTAGAGCTCTACACTTTACGAGGACTTATACTTTCTTTATTCTACGTAACACACCTTGCATTGTATCTCAATTGTAATATTAGTAATAATAGTAATATTGGTATTATTTAATTATTTTGTTTATTTTTTTCCATTA